CAGTTTCCCATCTCCAAAATGAGCGTACACATGGGTCAGAGCTGGCGTGAGGCACCACACATTTTCACGTCAAGTTTGGATTTTATAAATCACAACCTTTGGCGTAAAAAGGGGCGTACGCAAGTTTCTGGGCTCAAATTGTGCGTACGCCAGTTTTATAAATCCGACCCCAGAGGAGGGACTGTGGATATATTAGTAGAAGGATGTTAGAGATGCAGCTGCCAGGAAAAAGACAAAGAGGAGATATTTGGATGCTGTTAGAGGACATGGAGGTAGTTGGAAATAGGATAAAAAAAGGACAGAGTTTAACCAAAAAAGGAACAACCAAAGGAAGAAGAATTAATTCAATAAGGCAAAGACAAGAAAACAGTCCTGAATGGCCTGAATGGTCCTTGAGTGGCTGATTAAAATAAATGGGAATTCATTATTGTTCAGCTGAACCTTGCTTATACATCACTTCCATACTCAGAGGTCACTCAAAGTGCTTACCAAAGCCACGATCCAATTAAAAAAAAAAACATAGAATCGAGCATAATTGCAATAAAATAACATACAAGCAATAAATCAAATAAAACAAGAAAAATAATTTGAAAATAAATGCATAGGTACATAATACAACATTAAAACAAGTAAAAGTTTATGCCTTTTTAAAATTTTGTATAAGACTTTTTTAAGTGTGAACTGCTGAGGTAGGAACTTGTTTGTTGCAGTTTCGCTCACAAGGTGGCGCTCTGAGTCTTTCTTATAAACGAACATTTCAGTGTGATTTATTTTTCGTAAATTGACAATAAAGCAAAAATGCCATGCTCTCTGTCTGCCATTTTGAATTTTGACCTGAAAATACAACATTTGCCACTGATGTTCATTTTAAGTTGCCAAAGATACAGAATCTTTTGGTATAAATTATTTCCAGTGACATTAATTGTTTTCAGACTTGAGTGTTTTGGCTCGATTAGATTATGCTGCTTTGGAGTTGGACACAAAAGTTTCCTTATTCCCAGTAAAACTTGTGTCTTATGATCAGTTGTACATACAGCTGCAGAGCTGTCCCTTTAGTTCAGCTGTTAAGTTAAAGTCCAGCGCATTAAAATACAAATCCTGCACGCTCTGGTTTTATTTGATTAGACGGCTCTGCAAATGATAAGTGATTTTTCACATGTTTTGACACTATTAGAATTTTCTCTCTCTGTCATTCAGTTCCTGTTTTCACAAATGTCCCTCCCTTTAAGATGCAAAGGAGAGTGGTGTTTTTCTTTYCTAATTTTTTTTTTATGAAGCAATCCTAATTTTGTGGGAAGTTAAAACGTTTTGACTCCATTGGTTTCTTCAGTGATGCAATTATATATCAGTTTGTGTGGAGTTTGTTTAAACGATCAGCAAAATTAGAGGGTTGTATTTCCTCCTTTGTTATGTTGTTACGCAGGTGAAATGATCGTTCTCTTACAGTACGTGCCGTACATMCGTACAGCTGGATTCTTTGGCTGTCAGCAGCTGAGGAACTTGTTGCCCTGTCTGACCTCAGCAGGGAGCGAGGCACAGTGGCCGTGCGTGAATAGGCCTTTAGAAAGCCCTGGTTTGGTGGCGAGGCTGCTGACTCAGGGGGCTCGCAGTGCGCCGCCCCTGTCCTACGCAGCCACAGGCCCAGTCAGGACTCCATCCTGCACAGTGAGCATGTCACTATCCTAGCACCCGTTCCAAAAGAGAGTTGTACTTTAGTTTGTGGAGTGACAAAAAAAGAGACACAACCAGACAAAGACTTTTTCAGATGCAGAGTGGCGTAGCGTTGGATGACGAACCCAGGTAAGACCGACAGCTGTGCAACATCGCARCCCTTCTCCCACCCTCATCCTATTGTTTAGTGCAGTATGTAGGCACACTTTGGATGTGGGAGGGGAGGGGGCTTCAAATGTTCTGGATCACATGYGTATTTGAAAACGGCAGGGCTGCCTTTTAGTGGATATATGTGTATTGTTCCAGTGCTTGAGCGACCTGATGACTTGGCTCTTCTGGAACAAGCTTGGATCTTTTGAGCAGCCCAATGGGTCACTATTGGCTTAGSCATCTGGATGGATCTTTTACAGAATGAAAATAGGACAGGTGTGTGAGAATAACCGCTGGTGGATGGTTTCTTCTTGCGCAGTCTGCATTGATATTGTGAGGATTTATTTTTAATAGCTTGTAAAAAAAAATGCTCTAGCTTCGTTCTTTACCCAACAGTGGATTACTGCGACCCAAGTTAGCCTTGCCGTTAATGCCTTATGCTTTGTTTTCTGAGTAAGTAGTTCAGTTTGTTTTCACCTGTTTTGGAAGTCTTTGCAATTTACTTGAGAAAGTTCTCAGCCCGAGAAATGTACAATGARTCGAGAATATTTTCTAGACAACTCTTCAGTTGCACGTTACTGTATTATATGGTAAGAGTCAACATTTTGTAAATTTTAAGTTTATAAGCCAAATTTATTTATTTATTTTTTTACTTTAGTTTGCAAGGGTCTAAACTACACCTTAAAATATGGGTAAAAAATATAAAAGGCATCTATAATTATTATTAATATTACTGTCATTACAATCATTATTTTTGGTACTGGCTTTACGTGATATTCCTTTTCCCTTCGACTCTGTTAGTAAAAAGTGTAAGGATGGCCAGACGCGGGAGCAGGACATCCCCTCTGAAAGCCATTACCGAATTGTTTCACCAACATTCCAGTATAAGATGGGCTACCAGCGAATGGGGAAGTGCGTCATCATCAACAACAAAAACTTTGATGAAAATACAGGTAGAGCAAAACATTTTGCAACCAATCTTTTGAATATATTTTACACACTTTAGTTTTTCTCAGGGTGAGCACATGGTTGCGTATTCAAAGTAGATTTTGTTTTTTTGGTAGGGATGAATGTACGCAACGGCACGGACCGAGACGCAGGTGAGCTGTTGAAATGCTTCAAGAACCTGGGCTTTGATGTTGTCATCTACAACGATCAAACATGTGAGGAGATGGAGCATCTTCTCAAAAAGGGTGAGTAAAAATGCTTTTGTCAGTTTCTAATTGACTTCTAAGTCAAATTTGTACATGAGACTATTAGTCTCTTTTACATTGATTGCTTAAATGAAGATTTAAATTAAGAATATGATAATAGCAGCACTACTGTGTCTTTCTATGATTTTATAACTTTGAGCCACWGCGGTGAATACGCTGTGTGACTGACAGAAATCCTACGTCACTTTTAGTTTARGAAAAAAAAATCAAATGTAAATCAAGCTGTCAAAATGAATAATTCAACAGCTACAGTTTAGTAATGATAGCAGGCACTTCATAACACATTAACAGGAAGTCATTTGCACCCTGAGCAATTTTTACCTGACAATTATAATGTTTGATCCCAGCAACTGCAAGCTGAGTGCATTATGTAGAAAAAAATTCATGATGAAAATGTGATGTGTGGTGCAATGATATACAATGTGGACTAAATTGTTGGTACCCATTGTTTAATGAAATAAAAACCCACAATGGTTACAGAAATAACTTAAATCTGATAAAAGAAAAAAAATCAATAAAAATTAACAAAAGAAAGTCAGACATTTTCTATTCAATCATGCCTCAGTAAAATTAAAAAAATAAAACTCATGAGACGGGCATGGACAGAAATGATGGTACCCTTAACGTAATATCTTGTTGCACAACCTTTTGAGGCAATTACTGCAATCAAACAATTCCTGTAACTGTCAATGAGACTTGTGCAGCTCTCAGCAGGTATGTTGTCCCACTCCTCATGAACAAACTGCTCCAGTTGTCTCAGGTTTGAAGGCTGCCTTTTCCAGACATGTTTCAGCTTTGGATGCTCAATAGGGTTTAGGTCAGGGCTCATAGAAGGCCACTTCAGAGTAGTCCAAAGTTTTCCTCTTTGCCATTCTTTTGTATTTAGCTGTGTTTTGGGTCTTTATCCTGTTGCAAGACCCAAAACCTGCAACTGAGACCAAGCTTTCTGACACTGGGCAGCACATTTCTCTCTAGAACCCCTTGATAGTCTTGAGATTTCATTGTACCCTGCAGATTCAAGACCCTCTGTGCCAGATACAGCAAAGCAGCCCCAGAACATAACAGAGCCTCCTCCGTGTTTCACAGAAGGGACAGTGTTCTTTTCTTCATATGCTTCATTTTCTCTCTGTGAACATACAGCTGATGTGCTTTGCCAAAAAGTTACATTTTTGTCTCACCTGTCCATAGGACATTGTCCCAGAAGCTTTGTGGCTTGTCAACATGTAGTTTGGCAAATTCCAGTCGGGCTTGATGGATAGTGCGATCTGACACTGATGTTCATTGAGCTTGAAGTTCACCTTTAATCTCTTTAGAAGTTTTTTTTTTTTTTGGGCTCTTTTGTTACCATTTGTATTATCGTCTCTTTGATTTGTCATTAGTTTTCCTCCTGCGGTCACATCCAGTGAGGTTGGCTACAGTCTCATGGATCTTAAATTTCTGAATATGTGCAGCTGTAGTCACAGGGACATCAAGCTGCTTGGAGATGATCTCATATAACCTTTACCTTTAACATGCTTGTCTATAATTTTCTCTCTAATCTTCTGAAACAACTCTTTCCTTCTCTTCCTCTGGTCCATGTTGAGTGTGGCCCACACCATGTCACCAAACAGCACAGTGAGTATCTGTAGGCCTATATACAGGCCCACTGACTGATTACAAGACTGTAAACACCTGTGATGCTAATTAGTGGACACACCTTGAAACATGACCCTTTGGTCACATTATTTTCAGGGGTACCATCATTTCTGATCAGGTCTGTTTTATGAGTTTGTTTGTTTGTTTGTTTGTTTGTTTGTTTGTTTGTTTGTTTGTTTGTTTGTTTGTTTGTTTGTTAATTCCGTTGAAGCATGGATGAAAAGCAATATCTGACTGTTCATTTTTATAGAGTTTTTATTTATTATTATTTTTGTCAGAATCAAGTTATTTCTGTGACCATTGTGGGTTTTTCTTTCATCAAATAAGGGGTACCACCAATTTTGCCCACATGTGTATTTATCCTAAGCTAATACAGATATGCTGATTATAAGATAATGAGGGAAAAAGATATTTGAATTTTTGTTACTTTTGAATTAATATTAGAGCCCCAGTTGAGACACCATACAGTTTCTTGTGTGTTTATTGTGTGTTGTTTTATAACAGAAAGTTTTTGCTTTTGAACATTGTAACATTTTTTCTATTAGAAAAGAATAACTAATTGCCAGGCTCCAGCAGTGTAATTTTYGTGGGTTTTGTAATTTTAGGCTTTTCTTTTTTTTAAACAGATGACTTCTTTATTTAGAAATGACTAAATGTTTGTTCATTTAACTGAAGTTCAATAGATAAAGTTAGATAATCTCCAGAGTGTAACATTAAGTTACACTATGTTCACAATGCAGACAAAAGTGGCCCAAATTAGATATTTTTTGCCATTATGCACCACATACTAGGTTCTTTATTACAGTCTCAATGTGACAAATCCATTCTTTTCAAATCCRACCCAGATATTTTCCATAAGTTGTASTAAATCAGATRCATATCTGATGTTTATTAAAGCGGCTGCAGTCCAAATGTCAGTGTGTCTTTTCAGCTGGCCTTACGTCATTGAGGGAGGAGTACAGGGCTCAATCAAGATATCAGTATTATTGATACGTAACACATGCTGTTTAAAGCTTGGGACTTTGCACATTTMCAGCTACAGAACAGAAGTGCAGTTGCTTTATCTTTTTTTAGGTTTGTCATGTAGATGAGTGAGGATTTACATCAATACATGATACTAATGGTGATAAACTAATGTGTTGGATTGTACCGATACTAGCRTGATGGGATTGATATTTAACCTTGTTTATATTTTCGGTATATCGCTCCCACTGGAGAAGTGCAATTCTGTGCCAGAGCAGACGTGAAGTCACAACATCAAACGTAAACATTAGACAAAACAAGCATTGTCAACAATAATTTAGTCAGCTCTGCTTCAGGATCGATCCACATATGCTAACATGCGGCATCCACACTTACTTGTCTTCTTCTGTGCATGTGGATCATGTCAGGGAACTRTCAGCTGATATTTAAATTATGATGTGAGTAACCATGCCAAAAAACTGTATATGAGACAAAACTTGGAAATGAGCATTAAGACCTGCAGTGTGAACATAGTGATAGTGTCATTCAGAGAGGTTTAGGCTCGGGACGGGCTAAGAGTTCAGTTTGTGTATGTGTTGCTCAGCCTCGGAGGAGGACCATAGTGACAGCTCGTGTTTCGCCTGCATCCTGCTGAGCCACGGTGAGGAAGGTATGATCTACGGCACCGACGGCGCCATGCCCATCAAGACCATGACCTCACTGTTCAGAGGAGACATGTGTAAAAGTTTRGTCGGGAAGCCGAAACTCTTCTTCATCCAGGTATGCAGCAAAGAAGGTTTCTGTTTAAATAGTTATGTGCTTACATTAGAGGTTTTATATTCATATTTAAATAACTTTTCACTTTAACAGGTTAGAAATGATTATTTTTATGTTTTTCTTTCCTTCCGACTGGCAGCTGATAGGAAATAGCTGAGATAATATTTTGCTCATCCAAGCTTTTGATTGCTTCACCAGGTCAGCGTTRAGAAAGCTTCTCAGGATCTCAATGAAATGTCATTTCGTTTACTTCACCAGGCTTGTCGGGGTTCTGAATTTGACAATGGAATCCAGACAGATTCGGGTCCTCCAAACGATACCCTGGAGACAGATGCCAATCCAAGACATAAGATCCCCGTAGAGGCAGACTTCCTGTATGCATACTCCACTGTGCCAGGTAAACCTTACTGCTAAATATTGCTTGGCGTAGAGCAGGGATGCGCACCTTAAATTATGGAAGGGGCCACARTTTTTCAATATTTGGTTGACAGTACCAGAGGACCACAGTGCTGTGTATTAAAACTGCCATAAAACTCACATACTGTATGGGTTTTGGCTGTTCTGATGTGGCTGTTCTGTCTGATGTTCTGGTATTTATATGATCATATGATATGAAAATAAGTGACTGAAATGGTCATTACAAATAAAATATTTTGTTGATAGAAAACAAAACAAAAAAAACTGTTCTCGGTAATCTTTTCAAGTGGAATGATAATGAAACAAACCACATTCACATGCATGATGCCRTATGTACTAGTCGCTCGAGGCAATTGTTCTATAGATGCTTTACAAGTAATCAAAAGAGACAGTTTKAAGTAGAAGATGTTTTGGGTGAAGGACATTGTGGAGTTAATGAACATTAGTCAGTGTAGGTCAGATAGGACATCTTCTGTACCAATTTTCATCAAGCTCTGATCATGTTTATGGATGTACAGGCTTTTTCAGTCAAGTGTTTGGATTCTGTTGCCTACGGCTAGGTGGCAGTTGCATAGAAATACATATTGATGTCATGCAATGGTAGCCCTTTATCAGAGCTGAACAACAAAAAAATCTGAAGTTCCTATGTTGAATAGTTTTTGAGCTAAGCATTTTTTCATGTCCAGACACCAGCTTTTCAAATAGCGACTCTCTCCACTTGAAATATGGGTTCTATTGCAAAACTGTTTGCGCACGCAGTGTAGGGCGACCACATCTATATTTCTACCAAATTTCACGCTGCTAGGTGCAGCTGCTTCTCTGCTACAATTGAACAAAAATCTCTGACAAATAAAATAAATAAACAATACAAAAACAATATGACCACTGCTTCCCGTAGCTAGGGTTGGGCAATATTGGCAAAAAAAWAAATCACGATTAATTGTGGTATTTAGCTGATAACGATTAATTTGACGATTAATCCCCTGGAGTCCCTGGACACCCTTATTTCATAGTCACATGACCAATTTAGTGGGAAAGATATGCTGTTCATAAAAATCTGTTCCAAAATGTGTCAAAATTACAGACTTCAGGCTATACATCAAATTTTAAATTGTTGATAGATAAATAAATTACAGGACTTTTTTTAATGTTCGTCATATTTGAAGCTGAGAGGAGCAGTGAGCGGATTCTACCTGTTGGCATTAATCATATTAATTGTCAACTGCCAAAAATTAATMGATTAATGTTTTTCTGACGATTAATCACACACGATASGATTATGYCCAACCCTACTCGTAGCAGAGGTCATACAAAACACTTACTTATAGTATATTCAGGGTTCCCATGGGTCCTTGAAATCCTTGAAAGTTTGTGAATTTGAAAAAATTATTTCATGGCCCTGAAATGTTTGTGAAAACAGCCAAAAATTACACTTGTCCTTGAAAGTCCTTGAATGTTTTTTTGGGGGGATTGAAATTCTCTATTCACACAACTGATTTTCATCATCTTTTAAAAAAATAAATTATAAAATTAAATTAAAAAAACTTAAATTTGTTACGGTGGATAACTCAGGATTACGGTAAACTGACGTCATTGTTTCTGACTCAACAACTTCTATGTTGTTCAGTTTTTCATTGAATTTACATGATATTAAACCTGTTTATTGGTAACAGTAGCWGTAGGTAATTGCTGTTGCACATGGTTCTTTAATTTGAGGAAATTGGTACTGGAAAGTCCTTGAAAGGTCCTTGAATTTGATGTTGACCAAGGTGTGGGAACCCTGTATATACTACTGTGCAAAATTAAAGTAAAAGCCAGGCTTGACCTAAAGATGTGATTTCAGGATATTACTCATGGAGGAACCCCGGACGTGGTTCTTGGTTTGTCCAGGCGCTCTGCAACGTCCTCAATGAGTTTGGCAAGCAGCTGGAAATAATGCAGATCCTGACGCGGGTCAACTACATGGTGGCCACCAGCTTCGAGTCCTGGTCYGAAGACCCGCGCTTCAGTGAGAAGAAGCAGATTCCCTGCGTGGTCTCCATGCTGACGAAAGAACTGTATTTCAACTGATACCCCACCTGTACTGTACTACACAGTCTGACCAGACCCACTCGGCTGATCGGCACTGAATAAGCGTTCAAAGCATTCAGGGATGATTTAGGCTCAGCAGGACTCTGTCTACTTAAAGCACATGGCATTCTGTACGTGTGGAGCTGGGCCTGAAAACAAGCACTCTGTGAGCTCAAAAACAATCGTGGAAATCTGTGTTCATGTGTTGATAGTGAAAGCTCCTCTTCAGGTTCACGAAAAAAAAAGGGGGGTGTCACATTTAATCTGATCTACGTTCACAGGCGTTGTGAAATATTTATGTTCTTCTACTGATCCATGAAATTTACTGCCAGGTTTGAGGGTTTGTAGAATGATATCTGAGTATCGGTTACTCCATTTTTAGTACTTGCATAAATCTCGGAAGAGGCCTTATCTAGTAGACAAGAGCTGTCTTAAGCTGGCTTCTCAGAAAAAKAACAAAAAAATCCCTTCTTACTTCATAGCTCATTCTTTCTTGGYATTATCGTTCAACCTACATGATCAGATCCCAAGTCAGTCGTTTTAAGTTTTTTACTTCACTATTAGTTTTTGAATATCTTTCAACTAACATTATAACTGACTGAGCATGAGATCTGATTACACACATGCTCTGATTTCAAATAAAGATGTTTACGTCTTACAAAAGCTTTTTAAACTAACAACAGCGACATTTGAACTGTATGTTTATTAAAAAGGTGATCTGACCTGTTTCAGATGAGGTATTAAATGTATTTAATGTAAACCTTTTTGCAGTTTTACTTGGAACTGCCTGCTTTTTGACACGAGAATACCAGAGGAGAGTAGAGCCTCTAGTTGTGAGTGAAATAACTTACCGTTATGCATCAAAATAGTCCAGAAAAACAAAAAAAGTAGGACATTTAAAATGCTTTGATGCTTTTTTTGTCATTTTCATATAGCTTAAAAGCTTTGAGAACCTAAATTTGGCAAGAAATGATCTAAATCTTTTTTTTAGCAAAGAGTGATGTAGGATACTACACACCTAAAATCACACATCGTGCAATAAATGGTTGAAGGGTGAAAAGGAGGGCACGTTTTCACTCACTAGGGTTTTTTCTTTAGTCGATATCCTAACAAAAACACTTTAACATAAAAAAACACTCAGGTTTTTTTATTGTCTTATCAAGTAGCTCAATATATTTTCAGCAACACTGTGGCTACAAAGATGTGATCTTTTGCCGAGTAGTGAGTAGTTCTATTGGACTTTAAGCCAAGCAAATAGTCCTAACTTAGGAAGCTTAGGACTAAATAGTCCTAAGCTTAATGAAATTTCCTTTTTTTTTACTGTTAATTTGATATTCTTTGTCGTTGATGATAAATTTAGGGCTGCGYAATATTAGAGAAACTTGCAATGTTTGAAATTTTACGTTTAATATCACGATGCCTATATCAGTTGTGAAAAACCCACATTTYCCTCTCCTTCTCTCCTGTCACCTGTCAACATCTGAACTGTCATACATTCAGGAAGAAAACAGTGAAAAGCAGAACCGGGGCACAAAAAACACAAATGCATTGTTTCACTGTATATTAATGTTGTGCATCATCTTCACATAGATTTTRCTAATGCTACATAAGAATGTCTTGGTAGTTCCTCCTACTAGGTGCGTACACAGACTAAGAAGTAAAAAAAAAAAATTACTTTAGTGCACTTTGGCAATTTTTTATTTAAATGCTTTATGATGAAGTATGATTGAGTACAATTAGGTTTGTTTTCTGACGTATTCAAAACAATTGCCAATAGTTATTACAACTCAGAGGTTTGTTTTAGAAGATTAATTTTGTTTTTGTTCCAAAGTCTGTCTATCACAGAGGCAGCTATAACTGGCAGTAACATGTCTAAACTTACACAACCCATATGTCCACAATATGCTTCCCAGCATTTCCCAATGTTTTTTTTCCATTCTTCTTGCATGTATGTATCAGACACTTGGGGTGGGGAGAGGAAACATTTTTACTAGTCGTTCCTCTTTTCCACGTTTTATTAGCCATGTTTTATTTATTTTGCTAAGTGCCATGTGTGCAATCAGTGCTGGCAGTCCCAGTTCTTGTCCAGAGTGTCCACATCTCGAGTTTTCTCGACACGTGGATCTCTGCTCAGTAACATGGTGTCAAAGCCAAGCTGAGAGGAATGTTTGCTCTACTTGTTTTGAAATGAATTTTAAGGGGGGATATATTTTTTTAATGGGGAATTTTTTTTAATGCTTTCTGGTGTTTGCTGCTTTTGTCCTCAGTAATATATTTGAAAAGGCTTGAAAAAAAGAAATGAATGGATGGGTTTAATTGAAAGTATAATCTGGCCTACTTTTCATTTGGGGGCAACGTTTTTGTTCAACTCCAAAATGGAAGAATGCTTTTGTAAACATTTTACTGTAATAAACCAAAATGACTTAATATGATGAAATGAMGTGTCTTTATTAAAATATACTTCCAAAACAAATTTACAAGCAAGTCACCAGTTCATCACAGAGCTACTACAGCTTGGTTAAAACCAGCCCYTTGAAGGGAAACTAGAATTGAGCGGAACTGCATAGGAAGGCAAGGGCCAGGCTACTACAGCCCCAGTTCCAATGAAATTGGGACATTGTGTAAAATAAAAACAGAATATGATKATTTGCAAATCCCTTATWTTCAGTTGTGTAATGGAACTAATACTTTTAGGTTTAAGCCAGTAATTCATGACATCCTTTAATGACCTAGGTTTTCATGACATGCTGTTTATCAGCAGGTAGAATGATTAAAGTCAGAACAAGATTTGCTAACAACAGTCATTCTTAGATATCACTTGTGTTTATCTTTGTGTTTTCCATTGACCTTGTATCAAATCTTGCTAAGATGACAGAATGATGTTTGTTAATATATATATGAGGCCTCTCGAGACACTGGTGGGTAGTGTGGAGAGACAGTGACAGAGAG